TAAAGAAGGACAAACATATGGACTTTGCAGCAACTTGGATGGATTTAGAGTCTATCATATTCAGTGATCTATCACAGAAGCAAAGAACAGAGTTCTATATATTCTCACTCATAAGCAGAAACTGAACAATTATAATACTATAAGAAAGCAATTGGCAGTAGTGGGAAACTATTAGGGGAGGGGTGTGGGATTGGCAGTTGAGGGAAACTGCTAGGGGAGGGAGGGGCATACCTCAACAAAGGTACCTGCATAATCAATGTTTGTATATCTAACTCTGAGTTGTACCCCACGTCTTTATAATTATAAAAATTAAAAATAAATTAAAAAAAATAAATTTAAAAAAAAGAAAATATTATGTGAAAAACGCAGTTGATATCCAAATAAACACATTGGAAACTTGAAAAACCACAAGTCAAACCACTGTTAAGTCCAGACGCTTTTCCACTTACAATGGGGTTACATCCTAATAAACCCATTGTGAAGTCAGAACAAAAATCCTAAGTCAAACCATTGTTAAGTCAGGAACCACCTGTATATCAATAATAACAGAAAAATAAGAATATATTTAAAAATTCAATCAAAAGGTAGCAATTCTCAGGTTACACAAAATGTGAACATCCAATACATGTTATATATAATGTATCTTTGGATACACCTTAGATCCAAAGATACAAATAGGTTTAAAATTTTAAAAACAGAAAAATACGCAATAAGCACAGGACATATATAAGACTAAAGGCAAGTCTACATATAAGCACTGTACATTAGTTGATAAAATAAAATTATTTCACACATTAGTATAATTAACAATTCTAATAGTGCTATACAAGCATACAGGAAAAGAACAAATAAAGTAAATGGTTGGTGGATGGTTGGAGTCAGATTTCTTACTGTTAGATGTGGCAATTTTCAGATAAGCAAGGAAAGAAAGTTAAAATAACCATAAATGCATATTTAGCTTAATACGGACACAAATGGTTACTGATAGAAATATTTATAGATAAATATATTCAAGGGATTAGTATATGCATGCATATTTCCCTGCTCTGTCAGCTGAGATGACCGATACCTTACTGCAACAAGCATACCTATGGCCCAGATCTTGGTTTCTAATATCATTCTTCAATAAAAAGAAATAGGGTTCCTTACAGAAATAGCTGATTTTAGAACTGAGGAGGGAAATATACAAGATAAGCTGGAGTATCTTGTAGTACCAGAAAAAAAAAAGAAATGCTCTCAAAACCAACAGTAACAAAATTCATAACTCTCTGCTCCTTAGTATGAGCCATGTATAACGACATTGTTCCAATGCATATACCATAGAGATGGGGGGGAAGTGTAACTTTTATAGTAGCGAAATCTAAAAAACACCATGTCAGTCAAGTCATTAAGGTCATCAAAAGTCATAAAACATGGTGACAGAATGCATGCTTGATGTAATGTGACAAAATTGTACTTTACCACTGTGGTCTTCCTCCTCAAAACCCATAATCCCAATTTTACCTTGAGAAAAACATCAGACAAATTCCAATAAATGGAATTTTATATATACCTCACCAGGACTCCTCCAAACTGTCAAGATCATCCAGAACAAGGAAAGTCTGTGAAACCAGAACCAAGAGGAGCCTTAAGAGATGTAACAACTAAATGTAATTTAGTACCCTGAAAGGAATCCTGGAACAAAGAAGGGCATTAGGTAAAAATTAATAAAATCTAAATAAAACTATGGACTTCAGTCAATAATAATGCATAAATACTGGTTCAATAACTTAAAAATATACCATACTAATTATAGGGGAAACAGTGCCAGGTATATGGTAATTATCTATATTATCTTCTCAATTTTTCCGTAAGTTATGAAATGAAGTGAATTTTTTAAAAGGGTAAAAAAACATATATAAATGAGTATATAAAAAGATGTTTAACATCATTAGCCCTTAGGAAAATGCAAATAGAAACCATAAAGAGATACTACAACTACTGGATATAATAAAAAAAGACAATAAAAAGTATTGACAAAGACCTGGAGAAATAAAAAAAACTCATGCATTGCTGGTGGGAATGTAAAGTATTGCAGCTGATATGGAAAAGAATCAGGCAGTTCCTTGGAAAGTTAAACAGAGACACTATCTAACTCAGAAGTATATTTCCAAAATAACTGAAAATACACATCCATGTGAAAACTTGTACCTACACAATCAAAGCAGAATTATTCATAATCCACCAAAAAGTGGAGAAAAGAACAAATGCCCATCAAATGACAAATGGATAAATAATATGTGGTATAGCCATGCAACATAATGTTAAGTGGACGAAAAAACAAGTGAAATGCTGATACATACAACATGGATGAACCTTAAAAAGATTATGCTAAGTGAAAGAAGCCAGGCAGAAAAGGCCACATATGATTCCATTTATATGAAATATTCAGATAGGCAAATCCACACAAATGGAAAATTGATTAGTGGTTGCCAAGGGCTATGGGGAAGGAGAAAGGGAAAGTAACTGCTAATTGATATTGGGTTTGCATTAAGAGTAATGAAAAGTTTCAAAAAACACTGTAGTGATGGTTGTACAATTCTAATACTTTACAATGTAATCATTGTTATACACGTTATACATGTACAGCACTTTGGGAGACCAAGCTGGGAGAATCACTTGAGTCCAGGAGATTGAGACCAGCCAGAGTAACATAGTGAGACTCCCTAACCAAAAAAACAGGAAAATTTTCTAGGTGTGGTCATGCATGACTGTAGTTCCACCCACTCAGGAGGCTGAGGCAGGAGGATCACCTGACACTTGAGTGCAGGAGTTTGAGGCTGCAGTGAGCTGTGATTGTGCCACTGTACTCCAGCCTGGGAGAAAGAGTGAGATGCTATCACAATAAATAAATAAACAAACAAACATGCTAAATTGGTGATATGTACAGTATGTAGTGAGATGCCATCACAATACATAAATAAATAAAACATGCTAAATTGGTGACATGTACAGTATGTGAATTCGATCTCCATAAAACTGTTAAGAAAATCATTTCTTATATACCCGTTTATGGTGTACAGATGACATAACAATTGATATTATACATTGTTCTTACAGCCAACCCCCTGGCTAAACTAATATTAGGCCACTTTTGTGTAGATTATTTACTTTTGTTTGTATAATCAAATCATCTGCACACAAAATGACAATTTGGCTTCCCAATTTTTGTGGTTTACTTTTTATCTCTGCAATGGACAGTATATTCTCTATGATATCCAGTAAAATTCTCTATGATATCCAGAAGAACCACCATCTCTCATTTGGAAGGTGCACTCTAACTTTTCAACAAATATTGTACAATACCATGATGCTGTCCATGACAATTATGTAGTTTGATAAACAATTTACAAATCTTTTTACTTGGAGATAATTCTTAGACTGGCATGCAGCTGGAAGAAATAATGGTAACATCCTGTATAACTATAGTTCAATATAAGTTAAGAACTGACACTGATTTAATCAATCAACCTTATTCAGATTTCACAGGCTTTATACGCATTAGTTGTACATAGTTCTATAAACTATACATGTATAGATTACATGAAAACTACAACAATAAAAGTACACAACAATCCCATCACAAGGATACCATGCACTTCCCTTTAAAAACTACAGTCATCTCCTACCCTCTGTGCCTTCTCAGACCTGGAAACTACTAATCTGTTATCCATCTCTATGTTATCTTTTCAAGAATATTATACAAATAAAATAATGAAGTAATACAATATATAGCCTAACTCTATTCTTTATATTTGGTTGCTGACAGACTTCAAGGTCCGCCCCTGTCTCCCCTCTACCCCACATTTGAGCAAGCCAATATATGCTCACCCCAGCCTGAACTCCTGATGATAACAAAAGCAAGCCACTCTTCTCCCTTCTTTCTCAAGCTGTTTTTAGACTTCCTTGGGAGCCTTCTCTGCCCTCCCCAGAAATCTTTTCTCTGTGAGTAATAAGCTCTTTTTTACATTCTTGACACAAGTGTATCATTATCAGTCTCGATATCTAAGCCAAATTTGGGGGTTGGGATGGGTCCATTCTGGCTCTGTTGGATTCATTCAGTTAACATTGTTGAGTACCATCACCAAGTGGTGAAATGGTCAGCTCCAAGCTCGTCTCCCCAGAAACGGGGGAGACGGGAGGGGGGAGGAGGGG